TAAATCACATCAATATACTAAAGAAGAAAAATCATGTTCATATCCATAGATGCTAAGCTTTTGACAAAACCCAGTACCCATTCATAAGAAAAACTTTCAGCAAACTAGGAATACAGGGAAATTTCCTCAACTTGATAAAGATCAGCTACAAGAAACTAATAGGTAACACTATACTTCAAAATGAGAAACCTAAAGCTTTCTCCCTAAGATCAGGAACAAAGCTGAGATAGCCCCTTCCCACTCTTTTTCAGTGTTATACTAGAAGTACTAGGTAGGGAAACAGATAAGAAAAGAAATAAAAGGTATAATGCAGCCTGGGAAGGAAGAAATAACAAGACATTATTGTCTATGCAGAAATTTAACAAAACAAGCTGGGTGCTGTAGCACAATCCCCTAATCCCAGGCACTGAGAGAGGCTGAGTGAATATATTGCTGGCTTAGAGATACCTGAAAACTGAGAGAGAGCACTGACCTCTTGCCAAGGAAGACACTTCTATTGTGTGGCAAGAGAAATATGCTAAATTCTCTCATGGTGTGGACTTCAGCTGGCAAACCCAGGCCCTATTCTTGGTCCTTCAAGAGGCAGCAGGAGCATTTTCAGTTCACCTCTTTGAGGGCACCTATCTCCTCTCCTCTCCTCTCCTTACATGCTGGAGGAGCCACTCTCTTCCCCCAAGTGCTTGCAGCTGACCAAGAGGATCTGGGGCATCCAGGAAGGAGCTGAGCTCCCACTGCAGCATTTCTGGTAATACCTGGGACTCTCTAGAGCCACCACAAGTTCCACTAGCATCTGAGGTACTTCCTGGACATTGCTGTCTCTGAGCAGTGCGTTGCCTTTGAAATTTTCTTTATGAAGGAGAAGACTGCATGGCTTTGCTCTGTAACAGATGTATGACATGAGACAACCAATATAGTTCCAAGGGTCTGAAAAGTATTTGCAGATAAAAGACTCCCGGTCAACTTTAGTTTGTGAATTACTCATATGACTGTTTAAGGATTTTGAAGGCATCAGATCTGCTCTCTGTTGTGGAAGGATATTTGCTTCTTATTTCAGATCTTTATGTGCATTTTAAACCATATATAAACTTGTACTTTTATTTAAAATATAAGGGAAAGAAAGAGAGCATTTTAACTATTTGCATGGAATGGCTGGCTGGGCACTCCTAACATGCAAATCTCTTCCTTCCAAATTAATCACATCATTAGTGCCTGTCAACAAATGTGTAGTTTTTCATAACTTAATCGAGGCTAAAATAGAAAATCTCTTTTTTTTTGGTGCCAAGGATCAAACCCAGGACCTTGTGCATGCTAAATATATGCTTTACCATGGAGCTATACCCCTGCCTGAAATAGAAAAACCTTTAAATCTTTCTGGTTCCTCACAGTAAGTTCTTACCAAAAAATGCAAATCATTCAGAAATTCTGACTCATAAAATTTAACATTTCATGCTTAGTAGTAAATCACATTAGATGTATATTAGCCTGTTAGCCCAGGATTGTAAAGTGCTTTTATAATGCTTTTAGAGATAATTTTAGAGAGATAATAATTTTTTTTTTTTTTGTACTGGGGATCGAACTCTGGACCTTGAGCTTGCAAGGCAGGTGCAGTGCCACCGAGCTACATCCCCGGCCCAAGATAATAATTCTTTAATGAAAAAAATTAAAATGAAATTACTGTTGTAGCATTATACTATATTTTTGTATGTTTTGAGTTCTATCCTCAACACTGCCAAAAAATTTTTTTAAATGCTGAACATTAAGTTCCTCTTTTGTTCAGTTTACAAACAGCCACACATTTAAAGAAGAAAATTGAAGGATGTGGCTTTGCTTTTGATGGAGCAAAGATAAAAACTTTGCCCTTCTATTGACACTGAAAACAATTTAAGAGATTACCAGAGAAATGGGGAGTGCCACCCTAAAGACTTGAGAGATGTGTGTGGTGAAAATGAGCAGGGAGTTCAGAGTACTAACAATGATGTGTTAGTCAACTAAATTCAGAGACGACCAAAGGGAAGCAACAAGTTTTATTAATAAAGTTGAATCCTTTGGAAAAACTTCCAGATTTTGTTTTTTAATTTTTGTTTTTATTTTTTGTCCATGGAGAATAAAACAGTTTACTTTATTTTAAAAGTTATTTCTTTATATTGAAACACTAGCCAAAATTCTATACTAATACAAATATAAATTTCTTAGGAAATCAAAATATATGTCAAGTGAATTTTTTTTAATTTCTTAAAAGGCAGAATTTTTAAACTATAAAAAAAATAGAAACAATGTACATCAACATTCCACAGTTCAAATTTGGGCTAAATAATCAAACCATGTAAATTACCTCAAATAATTTTTGTTACTATTTAGAACAACATATTTCAATAACTTAAAACGCCCATCTACTCTTCCCATCTCTTAATCCTCCCAGGAAGTACAACTTTTTCATAGATTTAAATAATAAATCCAAATATTTACTTATGGTAGGAGATTCTGACATTAAACTTCCTGTATAATATTAAGCCATATTTCATGTAGATGCTCAAATAAAGCTTATCTCTGCATAAGTATTAAAAAGAGAAATCAAAGAGGCAAATAAATTTAGAGACACTCCTTGCTCTTTTATAGGAAGACTATGTGTTAAATTGCCAATTCTTCCCAGCTCGATCTATAAATTAAGTACAATCCCAGTCAAGGTCCCAGCAAATTAAGAATATTTTTTTAAATTAAGAATATTGACAGAGATAATTCTGAAGTTACATAAAAGACCAGAATAGCCAGCACAGTATTGAAGAACAAAGTTGGAGGCCTGACAATACCCAATGTTAACACTTACTGTAAAACCACAGGAACCAAGATGGCATGGCATTGGCAAAAGAATACAGAAAGAGAACAATGGACACTGTTAAGAGAATGAAAAGACAACATCAACAAAGGTTGAAAAGACAGGCCACAGACAGGGAGAAAATGCTTGTATAACACTTGTCTGATAAAGAACTTAGAAGTCAACAATACGATAGCCAACCTGACTAAAACCTGGGCATGACCTCCCCAGAAAGGAGCAGAGATGGCAAATAAGCAAAGTAAAAGATGCTGTACATCATATGGCATTGGAAATTTGCAAATTAAAGCAATGAGATATCACTACTCACTTATTAGAATGATTAAAGTCCAAAACACTGATGACACCGAATGTTGCAAAGATGTGAGTAACAGAAAGCTTCATCACTGGAGGGAATGTGAAATAGTGTAGCCACTCTGCAAAACAGGCAGTTTCTCAGAAAGCTGAACATGCAAAAACTATACAAGCCAGAAATCTGCACTTCCAGGCAAAGTAATGAACTTATGTTTGCACAAAATCCTGTGCATGAGTATAGCAGCTTTACTCATAATAGCCCTAAACAAGTGATGGCAAACCTTTTAGAGCTTTCAATAGTAAACAGCCTGCTGCTTACTTACATACCTTAGGTATGCCTTAGGTATACCGCCTTGCCTAAACTATAAACAACTATAAACTAACTATAAAAAACTATAAACAACCCAGATGTCCTCCAACGAATGAATGGTTAAACAAACCAGCATATCCAACCATAGCATCCTACTCAGTAATAAAAGGAATGATAAAATGACAGTGCAGCAACTTGGATGAATCTCCAGAAAATTACACTTAAAGAAAAAACCCCCATCCCAAAAGGTTATACACTGTATTGTGTAGCACATTTATACAACATTCCTGAAATGATGCAATTATAGGCATGGTGAACAGATTAGTAGTTACCAGGAATCAGGAAGGGTTGGAGGCAGGCTGTTGAAGGGTACAGGAGGGACCCTTGAGGGTGTCTTGAGCTGTGACCATCTGTGCCATGGTACTGGCTGTGACACTGAGCTGCAATCCTGCAAAAAGCCTCTGCTGTAGGAAGTTGGGTGAACAGTACCTGGGTTCTCTATTTCTAGTAACTGTGGGTCGGGCTGGGGATGTAGCTCAGTGGTTCCGGCGCCTTCCTCGCAAGCACAAGGTCCCAAGTTCAATCCCCAGTACCAAAAAAAAAAAAAATCTAGTAACTGTGTGTCAATCTAGAGGTACCTCAAAGTTTTAAAGTTTAATAAGGACTCAGAAAACTGATAGTTTCCTAATTATGTGGCCACAGTTGACTGTGTTTGTGCTCTCAGACTCCAGGTCCACTGGGTCTGGATTTACCAATTGCAGCCTGCTGCCTCCTCATGGCTGAAACCTGGCCATGTGGGAACATTTGTACCATGGAAATTGGGAAATACTACACATCAAGGCTTAACTACTGTTTGGTGATAGGCCAGACTTAACAAGATGAAAGAGAATATGTTCATAAATCAACTAAACTTAAAAGCAAGTCATGTCTGGAGCTGCTACATTGTGAACTGCCCAAAGTTTGAGGAAATAGTCTTTGTCCATTCAACAGTGATTTTCTGATTCAGCGAAGATCTTGCTCAGAACGAGTGATATTCTCGTGTGCATCTTGTTTTGATCTTACCGAGTTCAATGAAAATATCATCCTGCATTCCTGTTAGGTGCATCCATTCATCATAGGTTACTGTGGATGCAGTAGTTGGTTAAACTAGGAGAGCCTTCAGGGAGAACTTACAGGAAAAAGCATGTTGAACTGTACAATGTACATCCCTTCATCAGTGGGACTTGGAGCAACTGACAGGCATGTGGACCTGGGGGCACACATCTGTCCTAAGGGCCAGTTATTACCTGCTGGGCAGCACACACTCGCCAGGAGTGGGTGTCGGCCAGTTCCTGTGATGAAGAAGATGTGGGGAGGGGGACTTGTTAAATATGCAGATCTCCAAGCTATACCCCTGGGTTCCATGGTGGGTCTGACTGGGGTGGGCCCAGGGTCTGGGCAGGTTATCACTCAGTGGGGCTGCACTTTTCTGTCCTCTTGGGGGCCAAGTTGGGGACAGGTTTGCTAGGCCTCCCTGGCTCCCCTGGCCCCTCTGCCACCTTTCCCTCCTCTTTCTGCCCCAACCAGGCCTCAGTGTACTGTGTGGCCGCTGTCCTGTGGACAGCAGCCAAGTTCAGCACCCCCCGTGACCAAAAGCTGGCCCTACCACGCAGGCTCAAGACTCTCCTCCTGGACATGGCCAGGCGCTGTGCTCTGGAGCGGCCATCTGCAGCTGAGGCCATTAAGGTAACTGCATTATGACTGGAGACCTACTCACGGTCCCAGGGCTTCTGACCATTAGGCAGAGAAAGGGATGGCTTTCATTTCTTGGCCATGTGAGCAGACAGCATGGGGTCAGCTGTTAAAAATTGCTGCTAACTATAATTACCTACCAAATTCATCTCTTGGCTTGGGTAGGTTGCAAGCATAGAGTCTTTGATGCACATACAGATTGATTCTGACCCCCTCTGCCATGGAGCTGTGACCTCAGCCTCTCCTAGATCCCTCTCTTGTCTCCAGCATGTATGGCAGAACCTGTCAGCAAAACAAAAGCTGGGGAGCCGCTGTGGCTCTTCTGATCAGTTTTTATTCACAGCAGCAGATGGACTGCAAGGCCAGACACCTAGAAATGAACTCTCTTCAAGGTTGCCCAAGCTAGGGCCCCTGCAGAGAAGACCCCAGGGTCTCCCTGTGACCTATCCACCTATGTTCTTGAAAGCATCAGGGGAAATGGGGCTGGTAAGGCAGGAGCTGATGCCTGAGCTGCCCATCCTAGCCTACCCAGATAGTCTCTCTGCTTTCAGGTCTGTGGGAGCTATCTCCTCCAGCGGGGCATGGATAGCAGAAAGATCCTAGCCCACCTGTGGGTGTCCACCTGCAAGGTAAGATGGTACACCTCAAAGCTCATGGAGGGCTCCTTCTTGTTGCCAATGCTCAGACAAGGAACCTGCTTGTCTCCCTGTGTATTATAGACTAAGAGAGAATGTAGGAAGAGGGAGTGAATAGCCATCCTCCTCACAAAACTTTTCTCAGCTTTCTCTGCTGATGAGAATGAGCTTGTGGAGGACCTGAGTGTGCTACTGACCACCCCTCCAAGTGTGGGTGCCGTACACCTGGTGGGAGGTCCCATCTCCTGATGATCCTGCAGAGTGACTCCCAGATAGCCAGCCAGCAGGATTTACAAAGGTGCCTATCAGTTTTCTGGGTACTCTGATCAGGATGGATCTGGAGCAGATGCCATTCAAAGGATGGCAAGGCAGGTACCCCCAACCCCAGGGGGCTGAACTCCCCACAGCAAGCTTGGAGGTTCCATTCTGCCATCTTCTCATTCTCTAGAAACCTACCACAGCTCTACTGAAAAGGAAGAGCTCCAAATCTTGGGGCACAGCCCCTCAATGCCAGACTCCCTTGTACCACAGAAAGCCCCTCAGACTGGCCTGTCATGTTGCTGGACATTGCAAGGCAGGCCTCCACACTGTATTTCTGGGCCCCACTGTCATCTGACCAGCCATTTGTGACCTTCCACCCCAGGTTCACCAGGAGGAAGAGACCATCGGTCTCCAAAATGCCTTCTCAGTGGTTGAACTGAAACCCCGAACAGCACCTGCTCCCAAGCCCAGCCCAGGTGGGCACACCCCAACTCCTCCAGCCCTTTCTATCTGCCAGCCCTTATACCTTACACCCCACTGCCCACCCCCTGAGTCCAGCCCTGAGGACATTTACAACCTATGTCACCCCCAAGCCCAGAGCAATAGGCCCAGAGCTCACCCATGGGCCTGCCCAGGCCATCCTTGGCCTCACCTCCTCCCCACTCAGGACAACTCCAGATTCTATCTACTCCCAACCCCTCTCCATCCACATTCTTACCCCCCCAGCTCTCATCCCACCTGGCTACCTCCTCAGGGAGCCCTCTTTGGGGCCAGAGACAAGATCCCTCCCGGCAGCCCCAGCCTCCTGGCTATGGCCAGTCTTCCAGCTTGTCCTTTTACTCCAGCCCTCCCCAGGCACTGGTCACTCCCCACCTTCTAGCCCCTGGGCCAAGCCAGCAGAGGAGTTCCTTTGGGATGTGTAGGAAAGGATGAAGTGCCCAGCCTTGGTCCTGACAAGCCAGCAGGGCCTTAAGTGTGGGATCACTGTAGGGCATCTGCAGGCCGCCCAACTGCCCCTTCCCCCTCGTGCCCTCCCAACCACCTGCTGTCCCCAGGCTTCCTTCCAGTCAACAATGACACCAGATTCATGGCCATGCCAGGGCCTGTGCCTAGTCTATCTTCCTGCTATGAAGGAGCCAGGGAGCTGCCTGCAGCCTTCACCTCTGAAGCCACTCACTTTAAGCCCATCATCCTTGCTCAAGATGAAGGTGTGGCCAGGTGAGTGCCCCACCCCCACCTCAGCTAGCAGCATCCCCAGAACAGGTGGCCCCTCCTGAGCTCTCTCTTCCTCTCTGTCCACAGGGACCAGCTTCCTTTTTCCTCAGAGTCAGCTGAGAAGCTCAAGGAGAACAGTGGCCAGTTGGGTGGGAAGGATGAAGGGGGGCAGGCAGCCCAGAACCTCTCTGGGGCCACAAGCCTGAAGGCACCTGACCAGCTGGCACCCAGTCCAGAGCTGCAGGGAGTAGCCCTGGAACCTGTCAGGGAGTCAGTGCCACACAGCTTGGCCCAGGGGTGCTCCTGCCAGCCAGGCCCCGAACCAGCCAACCAGCAAGAAGGGGCCACACCAGCAATGCCCAGCTCTCCTGCCCCCACCCCACCCCAAAAGGCACCAGCACTGCCTCCTGAGCAAGGGCCAGATGGGCAGATTCCACCTGGAGCCACTCTGCCTCCAAGGCCCACCTCACCCATACATGCAAGCCACCCGTGCAAGCCACCCAGGAACAAGGCTGCCGAGACTGAAGGCCCCCGGCCAGTAGCACGGGAACCCACATTGGCTGCAGTGAGTCCAGACAGTCCCAGGAGCCCAGCTAATCACCCCGAGAGGCCTTGGCCAACAGACCGCAAACTGTGTCCACCCAGTGTGGACACCTCTTCCCCCCCGAAGAAGACAGCCTGCCCCTCCCTGCAGGAGGCCATGCGCCTCATCCAGGAGGAGTTTGCCTTCGATGGCTACCTAGACAACGGGCTGGAGGCTCTAATTATGGGTATGGGGGCTACAGGGACCAAAACAAGCCCTGGGAGGACCAGGGAGAGGCCAAGGGTATAGACACAGACCACGGGACAGCAGAGGGGACTCTGGATAAAGGGTAGCACAGGGGCTGGGGGCCAGCAGGGCAGTGAGGGCAGCTCAAACTGCTGGTGCCCAGGATCCTCAATTGGGAAGTGTCTGGGATTCACCCAAGCCCAACTCCCCCTGAGACCATCTCCTCCGTTACCGAGAGTAGGGTACCACATCCTAACTTGCTCTGTCACTTTGAAAAACTAGGGGAATATATTTACGCCTTGAAAGACCTCACCTTCGCCACTTTCTGTGGTGCCATCTCTGAAAAGTTCTGTGACCTGTACTGGAATGAACAGCTGCTACAGAATCTCTTCAAAGTGGTCAATGGACCATCTTCTCCCATTGAGAGGTAGGTGACCCCAGGACCCAGGCTTCCCTTCCCAGGCCCTGTGGCAGGCCAGGACCCCAACACCCATGTGTGCTGTCCCTTCAGAGACTTCCTCCACCTAAGCTCTTTCTCAGTGCCTCACTCCCACACCCTGCACCTACACCCTTCTACAGCACCTACACAGCATCATGGGTGTGACATTTGTTACTGTGTGTCTGCTATTGGGGCACGGGCGGGGGGAGCATGCTTTCTGACATCCTCCTGCCTACATGAGGAGTAAAAGCAGTTGCTTAACAAATGTGGCCACCTCAGCCCCCAACAAAACATGCATTTCCATGGCTGTGAGAGGGTGGCCTGAACTACACCTGGATTCCACCCAGCAAGGCTCTATGGAGCCAGTGCCCCACTATCTGTGAGGCCTCATTCCCCACCAGTGTTTGCCAGCTGGGGGCTTTTCTGCACAGGCCCAAGGCCTCGTCCAGTGGGAAAGGAGTGGAGGGGGTCTGACCAGTCATTCTGATTGTCAGCACTTCTGAGGACACAGGGTCTCAGCTCCAGAGTTCACCAGGCAGCTGTGCAACATCCAGCAAAAGACCCTCATTGCACGGACTGGGTAAGAGAAGCAGCCCACACCACAGGAGACAGAAGCTACAGCTGTCCTCATTGGGGTCCTCCAATCCCTCCTGTTGTGGCTAGTTACAGGAAGGACTTCAGCATCAAGGACAGCCTTGCTCTAGGGGACACCCTAGGAGCCTGGGCCTTGGGGCAGGGGCTGCGGTGTCCCCTTCCTTCCCCTCCTTCAGCAGCTTCCAACACAGTGCTGGCTTCCTATGAGTCATTTAAGCACTCTCACCTGGATTTCTCAGATTATTAGCCCAGGATTCCCAGATCCATTGAAAACTATAATTTCCCAAAATCTAGGCTGAAGAAATCAAGGCAGGCTAGCCAAGCAAGTGGGGTGACTGATCACCCAAATCTGTCCACTGGCCAGTAATGGGGATTTGGTGATGGCTTCATCCCTATTTAAGCAAATCAGGGAACAAGTGAGCAGACCCCTGGGCTTGAAGTCTACCTGCTCACAGATAGGGGAACCAGGAGACCACCAGCACAGGCAGAAGCTTCCAGAGGTAACAGAGGCCAGAGTATCCTGAAAGGTTTGTGAAACACTAGAGCTGGGCTTGACTTTAACGCTCTAGAAGAACTGGTGGGCCTGGACAAGACAGACACAGGAACCGGAGACAGGGGCAGGGTTCAGGTCCCATAAGGAGTTTGAAAACCATACAAGTCATCGGGAGTGATGGCACATGCCTGTAATACCCACACTCAGAAGGTTAAGGCAGGAGGGTTGCTGTGAGTTTGAGCCCAGCCTGGGCTACACAGTGAGTTCAAGGCCAGCCTGAATTACAGAGCAAGACCTTGTCTCAAAAAAAAAAAGAAAGAAAGAAAGAAAGAAAAAGAAAGAATAGAAAAGAAAAACCATACAAGTGTCTAGAGGGAATCTGGTCAAGGGAGGGCATTGCCCCTGGTTGTAACTATCTCTTCAAAAGCCACTCTGAGTTCCTAGAAACTAGCCCCCGAGCTCTGCCCAGCTTGACCACTGTGGTGGGGGGTCTTGGGGAAAGCATCTGGGCCTCCCTCTATGGGAAGAAGAGTTGACCTTCATCTTCATCTCTTTCTTTAAAGGCAAAGAAAAACCAGCTGCACCATGGGGCAGTGGAGGCCCCTGCTCACCCACCATACTGTCAGACATAGACTCTGACACACTCTCAGAGGGAAACCTGGAGGTGGGATTTCGACCTCAGAAGTCAATAAAAGCTGCACGAGACCAGAAGCCTGAAGCAAGAGAAGATGGACAAGGCCCAGGCCTGGAGCCAGTTGGCAAGACCTCAGACACAGATACTGTGGCCCAGCTGGCCAGGCCCAATGAGGGCAGCCAGGCAGTGTCTCTGGGCCCAGCTGAGTTCCAGAGCTGCAGCCCTGGCTGGTCCAGTGCCTTCTATGAGGCTGACTGCTTTGGGGCTGACGTCTACAACTATGTGAGGGATCTGGGGAGACAAAAGGCTGGTGGGCACCCAGAGCCCGAAGCCGAGAGCCTGGTGAGTCCAGGGCTTCTGCCTGCTGAGGGGTGGGGCATCACTGTACCCTCAGGATCACCACTGGCAGTGCTTCCAGGTCACCCCAGAAGGCAGGTAAGGGTACACTCAGAGCCCCTGTTGTATCCACTCCTGGAATACTCATGGCACCCCCTGTCTGTATGTCCTTTCATGGAAGTGCTATGGTGACCAGCATGTTCTCCACATTTTGGAAGCAGGAAATGGCTTTTCTTTCTTGTTAGCTGGGCACATAGCCTCCAGGTGACAGGTGGTCAGGTGGTAGGTCACTTGATCCTTGTGACCACAGTGGGCTTCAGGTCGTGTCTCCCGCTGGGGCTGGCAGGTGAAGCCTCCTCCCTTTTAGGCCCCTGGTACTTGGGCTGTAACAACTGTGAGATGAGAACAAACACCAGAACTGTCTTGTCCAGGGCAAGTCCAGTCCAGGCTGGATGCAGGGTTAGTGTAGCCTGGTGTGGGCTTCTCTGGCAGGCAGTGCCATTCCAGGTCAGGAGCAGCCCAGGCTTCTTTCTGGCCAATGAGGCCCAAGAGGCTGAGACTTGAACAGACAGACACTTCTAGGCCAAAGGTGAATGCCTGTGCAAACAGGGTCCCCCACCAGTGAGTAAGAGGCCCCAGCAAGGTTACAGCCACACAGGTCTGGGCCCTGAGTCTCTAACGGGAGTGACCCCATCTGAGACTCAATCCTGACATCTTCCTTTGGCCCGGTTTTAATTGCCACCTTGGAACCCTGAGCCCCACACCACAGGGGCAGTATCTCTCAGCCATCACAGCTGTCTGGTAGTGCCTTCTTTTGTTTGCCTCCTCCTGCTGTCAACATGTCAGTTCATTACTTGGTCAAGGAAGCACCCAGCATCCCTAGGTGTGAGGACTGGGCTCACACTCTGAAGCTCTCATTTCCTCCGGACTTCACTGAAGACTAGGCCCCTCTGTGCACCGTGGAAGCTTGTGAGGAGAAGACAGTTCACAGCAGAGGCCCAGATAGCCAGTGTGGGAGACCTCCACCTTACAGACCAGATGGGAACTCAGTATCACCACATGAGGGTCCAAGCCTTGGACACAAAGGTAGAGAGTCTGGTCCTTGATGGGCTCCAAGAGGTCCTTGGGTCTCTTTCTTTCTGCTGAATGGGTCCTCATCCAACCTCTGCATCTTTCATTGCAATTGCACACTGTGCACCACCCAGAGTAGATGATATCCTGAGAACACTGGCTCTCCACCTGTCCCCACCTTTCCAAGGAGCAGAAAACATATCAACTCTAGCAGAAAGTACTAGCACAGCTACCTCCCTGTCATCATCCTTCCATCACAGGCAACATCAGGGGTAAGGGCCTGGTACAGCTGGTGAGGAACAGAGTGGGCTTGGCACCTTCAGGACCTGCCCAGATGGTACTGAGCAGTCCCCCAGGCAGGACTGTTCTAGCATGGAGGATCATGAGGGTCCCAGGATCTTTGATAGCCTGAAAAGGGCGTATGGACATAAGTGTTTGCCATGAGGTGTTCCAGAAGGGACTGTGAGCTCTGTCACCTGACAGAGCCTTAAAAATGCACGCTGAGACCAGCTCTGGGCCAGTGTCTGTTCGGACTTGGTTGTAATCCTATGACTAGGACCAACTCATCCTGAGTTAGCTGAAGGCACAGGTGGACACAAACCCTGGACCAGCCATCTTAGTGGTCAATGTCACACTGCAGGTGACTCCTGCTTGGGGATGACTTATCCCAGTGGTTGATCTGGAGGAGGCCATCAGCTTCAGGGCACAGGGAGTAGACAACAAGTATGACCTTGTTTTCCCTTTGTCCTGTCAATCTAGGGAAGAGGTCAGGTGAGTTTCCTGTCCCTTGTCTACTCGTAGGTTATCTTGGGAGACCAGCCAGGCTGCTGGGTCTCTTTAATTATTATAAATTTTTTTTTTTTGGTACCAGGGATCGAACTTGGGACCTTGAGCTTTAGAGGTAGGCGGTGGAACCACTGAGCTAAATCCCTAGCCCTGCTGGGTCTCTTTAAAGGTTCACCATATCTGCTTCAAACACACAAAGCATACAACTCATAGATTTCACATTTGCAACCCAAGGAGACAGCAAGTATGCCAGCAGGCTGGTGCTGAGGCAGTGAGGCAGCACTGACCACCTGCAGTGCACACACTTAGCCTGAGCACTTGCTGTGGCTGCATGTGACATGCACATGCTACAAGTGTCCCCACAATGCAGACACAGTGCCCCAGCCCCCCCACCACCACCACCACATGTCCTGCCCTGCGTGCTTTGTTTGCTTCCCCTGCTGTTGAAACAGGCTTTGCTTTCAGTGTTTAGGGGATGGTAGTGGATTCAGTTCATCCCTGTTTTCTTCCTTTCTCTAGTTTCTGATTATTCCAACTTACTTCTACCTTTTGTTTCATTTACCTACCCTGATATTCACCGGCCATTCATCCAATTAAATCCTTAGCCATTGTGCCTAAATTTGCCTCAATAGTTTACATTTATTTCTATAACAAATATAGGTAGGCATGGTGGTGCATGTCTGAGATGCTGAGGCAGGAGGATCTCAAGTTGAAGCCCAACCTGGACAATTTAGTGACTTAGAAAAACTCCCTCAGTATTTTTAGATCTGACCAACCAGGTCAGATTGTGGTCCATGCTTGTTTGTCAGCCAGAGTGTGGCTTTGACAATGATGCCAACACTTGTGTTTTCTTCTCCATTATCCCTTGTGTTATATGAATTTTAGGTAATGTAGATTTATCTAAAATAAGTCAAAACAGCCCTCAAAGAATCTGTCTGTTATTTATTATCCTGCAAAGTGTTGTTGACAAATGTCAAACCAACTCTACAGATGAAGGTTATCAACACTGACTGTTACAACTTTGTGTAAGCCACAGTCTAGCAGGCAGGGGCACATGGCAACCACTCGGGGAGCCACATCCAAGTTCCCAAACGCCTTGGTGCCCTCAAACCCTCCCCCAGGGATCTGTCACATCTGCACCTATTCAGAAGACAAGAGGTGATGGCTTGGAAGGAGCTTTATTCAGGGTGACCTCCAGAACAGAATGAGAGCTCTGTGGTACAGCCATGGGCCATGTGGCCACTGCTGCTCCCCTCAGAAGCCAGGATCAGAGAAGAAGCATGCATGGATGGCTGTGGAGACTTGCAGGCCTCATTCCAACCAGCAGACACAACACAGTTCCATCTCAACCTTTGTGGTAAACTGGGGGTGTTCCTCAAAGACAGCATCTGCAGTCACTTGAATGGTGGCTCATGTGACCAAGGAACTGACATTTTTATTTTATCTCACTTTAATGATCTACAAAGCCTTGCATAGCCAGTGGCTCCATGTAAGAAGCACAGGTGCTAGGCAGGCAGCTCGTGGGTCAGCCGAGGAACTGACTACTCCCATCCTCATGAGGAGGAGCTGGCCTCCTCTGGCTGGCTGTCTAGTAGGACCCTGATTTGAAGCTAAGCATGGTTTAAAAACTCAGTTTTCACACCCATAATCCCAGCACTCTGGGAGGCTGAAGTAGGAGAATCATAAATTTGAGCTGAGCATGAGCAACTTACTGCCTTAGTGAGACCCTGTCGCAAAATTTTTTTTAAAAAAATTTTTTAAACAGTCTGGAGAAAGGGCCAGGGATTGAGGAGACTGGATTCTATTTTGGACCCCTCTGCAGCTGCCCAGTACCTAGCAACACAAACTACCATGGGGCTGGCTGCATTCTACCATTGCTGCCAACACAGTGTGTGATAGAAGACAGCCACTAGACTGCCAGATAGAAGGCATCCAAATATGTAAATAAAAGATGGCCTGTTTTTCCTTTTTCTGAGCAGTTCATCCAGGTAACTGTAGGGCCATGAGATTAGGGGAAGTGGTGTCCGGTCTTGGGCTGCTGCCATCACCAAGGGGCACTGGCTACAGCTGGCTATTAGATTAACCTGGCTCAGGGCATAACTGTACCTGGACCCTCACCATAGGAAGCAGTTTACTAAGGAACTCGAGTGGTCGCTGGCCAGACATCTGCCTGTCCTCATCTCTGCCCCCTGCCTAGCTCCTCACTATGGACCATGCCGCATCCTCCTCCTGTGGAAACAGACTAGCAAAAGATTCCCTGGGATTCCAGCTTCCAGAAGCCCCCAGAGCTATATACACATCCCACCCTGCTCACTTCCTACCTTCACCTGGCCCACAGCCCCCTGGATGCAGTCATAGAGGCTGTGTCTGTCTTCTCTTGAAGGGAAAGGCTATATCTGAATTCTCATCAGGGCAATCCTAGCCTTTTGTGGACCCTCCAAGTTGTGCTTGAAGCCACGACTGCCTTGATCTCACCCACTGTGCTTCCTCTTAGGAGCTGGAGCAGCAGCTCATGATAGAGAAAAGAAACTACCGCAAGACCCTGAAGTTCTACCAGAAACTTTTACAGAAGGAAAAGCGCAACAAAGGTAATCCTGCACAGATGCTCACCACAGGCAGGGGCCTCTGCATGGGCTCAGGGGAGCTGCCTTGTGCCAACTCTGCTCTGCCCACAGGCTCTGAGGTAAAGACCATGTTGTCCAAGCTGAGGGGGCAGCTGGAGGAGATGAAGTCCAAAGTGCAGTTCCTCAGCCTGGTCAAGAAGTACCTGCAGGCAAGTGGCAGCCCATCTGTTCCCCTCCTGGGTGAGTAACACTCAGATGGGTTCCTACCATCAACACTGTGGATCCACCCATGTTCAGTCATTAACACAGACCCCGTGTGAGGGGCCAGCTGCACAAGAAGCCTTGCCATCTCAGGGGTCAGGGTCTGGGTGACCAAGCACTCTCGACCCATACACATTGCCCAGTGGCCATGACTTGCCCCTTCCCCCAGGTCATGTATGCGGAGCGCTGGGGCCTGGAGCCCTGTGCCCTGCCAGTGATCGTGAACATCGCAGCAGCCCCCTGTGACGCACTAGACTTCAGCCCCCTGGATGAGTCCTCCTCTCTCATCTTCTACAATGTCAACAAGCACCAGTGCGGGGGCCGGCAAAAGAAGGCTCGCGTCCTACAGGCCGGCACACCACTGGGGCTCATGGCCTACCTCTACTCCAGGTGTGTCCAGGAGCCAGAGCAGGACCCTCTAACCCATGGGCCAGGAGATTTTGAGAGCAAAAAGGACAAAAGCTTATTCAGGAAAAAGGAAAGAGGCCCCCATTTAGGATGGGTTGCATTGTCTTTTAATTTAAAAAAATGTTTAATCAGAGTTTGAAGTTGCTTGATGTTAGCTGTCACCTGCTGCATGGCTGATCTGCTGGCCAGAGTGGCCTCAGCCACAGGCCAGGTGCTATGTCTCAGGGTGTGCTAGTGGGCATTGTGGGAGAGCTGGGAAACACCCTGCACAATTATACCCATGGGCTTCCAGTGCAGACACCCCCAGGAGTCTCTGAGACATGGCCTGGGTTCCATTCCATTCACTAAGTCAGAACTCCTCATAATTAGCTATCAGGTTCTTGGGCTTAATGCATTCATTGGGAGTATTTCTGTGACATCCACCTCTCTAGCGAACACTGTTTTGCTATGTCCAATATCCCTAGTGATAAATGCTAGTGTGCTTTCTGGCTCTGTAGCAGGAAGAACCCTGGAATCTCCTTACCTTTGCCCAGGGTCACAAGGTCACTTCCAAGGCTGGGATCTTGGACCTCTCTCCCTCATCCCACCTAGCACCCTTCAACCTTCCAGCCCCTCTGCCCTGCAGCACCTCTTTTCACTTGATGGTCTAACCTACACCTGGCCTGAGACCAGAGGCCACCTTTGCCTTTCCAAACCAGTGGTGGAGGCCTCCCCCAGTCTTTACACCATGGTGGAGCCCTGGGGTTCCCTTTGATGGACAGGTTGTGGTGACTCCACTTCTGATCAGCAGATATCACCAGGACTCAGGGAGGACCACCAGGGAACAAGGTCCCCTCTACAAAGGCTCAGGCCTCCTCAGTCTGCTGCCTCCTCCCCACCAACCCCATACCCCTAAGGTGGGCTGCATCTGGCTATGCTGGGACCCCTGCCAGGAACGCCAGGCTGACACTCAGACAAGGGTTAGTTTCCTCACCTACAAGATGGTGCTGCCTTGTCCACCATGGGGTCTCTGGGGTATCATGGGAGACAAGTGCATGTGAGATTGTGTATGTGTACAGGTGTGGTGTATGATATGTGATGTGCATGTGTGGTGTGTGCACATGTGTGTAGTAGGTATGGGGTATACTGGGATATTGTGTGATGTAGTGTGTTTAATGTATGTGATGTGCCCATGTGTCTCATGTTGTGGAGCTATTATGTGATATTGCATAGTCTGTTATCCATGTGTGTATGTGTGGTATACTGGGGTATCATGTAAACTGTGTATGATTGTGGGGGCATGTGCATGGTAGTGTATATGATGTTTGTGGTATGCATATATGGCATACACACATGTGGAGCATGTTGGGGGTATTTGTGTGATGTGCATTTGTGTAGTGTGTGGGAGGGTATTATGTAGTATTGTGTAATCTGGTGTACATGTGTACATGTGTGGTATGTTGGGTGTGTGGTATAATGTATATGATTATGAGGGAGTGTACATATGTATGGTGTTTATGTATGTGCTATGTATGTGTGATGAGTACGTGCATGGGGCACGTTGGGGGTATGGTGTGGTGTGAAGTAAGTGATGTGTGGTTATGCATGTGTGGTGTCCGTGCATGTGGGAGCATATAGTTGTGTGGGGAATGAGGATGTATGTAATGTGAATGGTAGACGTATTATGTGTGTGAATTACAGCTGGTCCTCTCTGCAGAATGCAGACTACAATGCCAAGGGCTGACCATCATGGTTCTAATGGTGCACAAGCAGACCAGGAAGGGTGCTCACAGTGTGTTAGGAAGGGCCCTCCTACTCCAGTCGCTGAACTTTCTAGTGTGACCAGTACTCCCCTTTTAATTTCCCAGGGGCTCTCTTGCCCATGATTCTCCCAACACAGGGCATCCATGTACTCACTCACATAGAACACATACACACACACAAAACTTCACACACTCCAGGTTGCTCCCCACTCAATGTTCCACAGGTGAGTCCAGGGTAGGTGGGTGGGAGGCTGGTCAAAAGCCCAAGTTCTTACCAATGTTCCCCCAGTGACGCCTTCCTCGAGGGCTACATCCAGCAGTTCCTGTATACCTTCCGCTACTTCTGCACACCGCACGACTTCCTGCATTTCCTCCTAGACCGTATTAGCAGCACTCTGTCCAGGTACCACCCATGTGGGGGTCCTAACTCATGTTGGGTGGGCTCCCATGGCACCTCATTTAGCTCCTATGAAGGATGAAGCAGTCCCAGGTGAGCCAAACAGGGAGGAGGGCATAGGTGGAGCCTCACTGGAGAGGGTCAAGGTAAGGGTGTTAGAGCCAAGGTGAATGCAAAGGGAAAGGAACCCAAGAGGTACCAGGTGGCCAGGGCCTCCCAGGGCTGCTGGGCAGGGGCTGGAAAGAGGAGTGGGAGCCCTTTGGGGAGCTCTGGCCTTTTCTCTGACCAGGCTTATCAGCCCCAGACTTCCCCATGCACTCCTCACCTCCACACACTATGTGAGTCCAGGCTGGGTGGCCCCAGGCTGAGGCATCCTGTCTGCCTCCAGGGTCCACCAGGACCCCACCTCAACCTTCACCAAGATCTACAGGAGGAGCCTCTGCATCCTGCAGGCCTGGGTGGAAGACTGCTACACTGTGGACTTCACAAGGAATGTGGGGCTGCTGGAGCGCCTGGAGGACTTCATCTCTTCCAAGGTGACTGCTGCCCAGACCAACCTGGCTACACTCTAGGCTCCTGCAGAAGGAGGCGCTGCCCTCGTCCAGAGGAGACAGTAACCACTATGCTTCTGCCTAGATTCTGCCCCTGGACAGCTCTGCTGAGCACCTGTTGGGCCTCCTGGAGGTGGGCACTGACCGGCGGCCTGATGGCACCCCCCGAGGCACAGACCTGGAGGACCCCAAGGAAGCTGAGGAGGACACCAGACCCTTCAATGCCCTCTGCAAGAGGTTCTCAGAGGATGGCATCTCCCGAAAGGTGTGGGCCTTTCCCAAGGGAGGGCTTCTGTGGACAGGCAGGTGCGGTTCCCTGAGTCCCTTCTGGATGACATGGCATGCACATGAATACACATACACATTTGTGCACATGCACACCTATGCACATACACAGGCATCCACACACAGATCTAATAGACATGCACACACATGTGCACACGTAGACATGCACTTGTGCATATATATGTTCCCCGTGCTTGTCCCAGGTACTGATCTTGTTGGGGTGGCACTTCCTGGCCCGCCTGACCTGAAGGAGTACAGCTCCCACCTGGGTCACTCAGGTGGTCATGTAAGATGGGCCCTACTATAACTAACTGAATTTACCTTCCAGTTCCTCAGGTGGGAAACCTGGGTAGAAGAATACACTGTCGGGAAATGGCCCCAAAACCTCAGGGGTTATGTCCGTGGGGGATCTACCAAAATGACCAGAACATGTGTCCTTGTGCCAACAAACATGTGCAGGAAGGGCTTGCCCTCTGGCTGTAGCTGAGCCAGTCTAAAGAGTCCTGACCGGACTCAACCTGTCCTCACCTCACCACCCTGACCTGGAGGGTGACTTGGCTTACCTGCAGAGCTTCCCCTGGAGGCTGCCCCGGGGCAATGGACTGGCACTGCCACACCACAAGGAGCGCCAGTACACCATCGCATCTGCCCTGCCGAAGCCCTGCTTCTTCGAAGACTTCTATGGCCCCTATGCCAAAGCTAGCGAGAAGGGGCCCTATTTCCTGACTGAGTACAGCACACACCAGCTCTTCACTCAGCTGACACTGCTGCAGCAGGTACGTGGAGGCTGCAGGCACCAGGAGTGCACAGAGGACCCCACAGCCCCCACCTGGGCCAACTGCAGGTGTCACGGGGCAGGCTCAGGGACACTTTGGCATCACAGGACCTTAGTAGACACTTCCTGGAGGAATCAATGAACCCCCAGAGGAGCCTAGTTGCAAGGTATATCAGTCCCAGGGAGCTATTGCAAAAACTAAGGAGGCCTGAGGTGGGGGCAGACCTGGGCTCCAGATAAGCACAGTCCTCCTCTTGCTGCACAGGACCCAGGTGCCCCTCTGGGCATCCCTCTGCTGAAGCTGGGCCATCCTCTCCTTGTGCACCTGGGCCCTGCCCAACTCTCCCTCTAGTCCCTGCTATCCAGGGCCCTGATGTCATAAGGCAGGTGACAGCAGCACCAAGCAATGCTGCTGTCATCAGCCCTAGCCAGTATTGTCAGCTGTGGGGGGTTGAGTACATAGGGAACCCTGCTGGCCAAGCCCCATGATTGCAGAGATGCCCCCTAAAACACCTCAGCCCTCCTTAGGACACTGTTGTGGCCACCAGGTCCTTGGGGCCAGTTACCTGACTGTCTACTTCCATGTCTCTGGCAGGAACTGTTTCAAAAGTGCCACCCCGTACACTTTCTAAACTCACGGGCCCTGGGTGTCATGGACAAAAGCACAGCCATTCCTAAGTGAGTGTCCACTCCCAAGGTGGCCTGGGAGTTGTTGGTGTGGAGGGCTGGTGGGAAGGTCTTGGGAGGCTTCCCCAAGGGCCTGTGGATGCTCTTGGCTGGAGGGAGATGCCTGGGTCTCTCCTGGAGGGAAGAGTGCCTGATCCTGTCCCAGTCTACACAGAAACCCTACAGCCCTAAGTCTGGGCAAGGGCATCTTTACATATCCCCAGGTGATAACACACCTCATTTATCTTCCAGAGCCACCTCTTCCGAGTCTTTGTCTGCCAAAACCTGTAGCCTGTTTCTGCCCAATTATGTCCAGGACAAGTACCTGTTACAGCTTTTAAGAAATGCAGATGACGTCAGTACCTGGGTGGCTGCTGAAATAGTGACCAGCCATACCTCCAAGGTAGGTGCCTCCTTGACTCTGAGGTCAGACAGGGTTGTAGGGTCCACATGCTTCAGGGCCAGGCAGTGGCCCTTGTGAGACTGTTAGTCCATCCCTTCACCAGGTCGAGGGAACCCACACTTCATATCCCTCAGAGCCACACTTTACCCAAGGCAAAAGAGAAGGGCAAAGCCACTGTGATTACTGCGGTCAGCAGGGATATTACAACAGTGTCACCTCCAAGAGCACCATGGTCACATCTAGCCTCATACTGTCTCCTCCCTCTACTGGGAATGCTCCAAAGCTATGACCACTTAGACACCGGAACATGTGTCTCTCCCCGAAGGGACACTTACACATCAGTACTCACACAGTCCTTCGCATTCCCACACATAGTACCTGAGACACTTTCCCTCAACAGACTGAGTCCCACACAAACACACAGTCCCTCACAGATGCATTCCAGTACACACTCAATCAATCTCTCTCTCTCTCTCTCCCTCACGAATACAGCCTCACACACATACACACTTCTTCACACAAAATTCAGACAAAACGTGCCCCACCGCCAAGGCACCCTTACATCTTTGCCTGGGCTGTGGCCCTAACTGCCTTGATCTCTAAAGAAGCAATCTTAGGGCCGGAGATTTAGCTCAGTGGTTTCGCCGCCTGCTGCACAAGTGCAAGGACCCAAGTTCGATCCCCGGTACCAAAAAAAAAAAGAAAGACGGAATCTACCCACTTCACCTGCTGGTCCCTGTTCCTCCAGTAAGATCCCACACTAAGGGCCCTCAGCCAGTTTGTGGAATGAATGCAACTTGGCTCCATTTCTGGCCAAGGTCAAAGTCTAACTTCAGCTGCTGTGGGCCCAATTCCAAGTTCTCCTTTGTCCCATGGGCCTGGGCTAGACAAGGGGCTTCTTAGCCTGACCTGACCCACCTGTTCTCAAGTGGGTCATGGAAGCCCAGGAAGGGTATTCACCTGCCTCAGGCCAGCATCTCCCTCCACATTTCTCAGGACAGAACTGCCCAGGCCCGGAGGGGCTTCACCTTCACACAGTGAACACACTACTGCAAAGGCCTCCAGTTTCCTCGCCTGAGGTCAGCATGGCTTGGCTTTTGTGGAGTGAGGTCAACCAGGCTTCGCTCCACACTGTAAGATGGCCACACTGATAGAAAGAAGGGCAAGCATCAGGATACAGGGATCCTTCTGTATGAAGCAGCACTTTCCCTCGGTTGGGGAGAGTGGTGACCTTGAGTCACAGTGGGGACCCATGGCCAGCAGGGCCACGGCTTCTTTAAAGCAAGCATTGGCCCAAGAAACAAGCTCCCCAGTATGCACCTCACCGTCACTCAGGAAACCAAAGCAATCTCATCAGAGATCCATAAAACTGCAAGTGTCTATTTAACCAATGTGCTTGTCACATTCTAAAATATATACTGAAGGGCTGGGGATTTAGCTCACTGGTTCTGCCACCTGCCTCGCAAGTGCAAGGTCCCGAGTTTGATTCCCCAGTACCAAAAAAAA